AGAAGGATTACTATGAGTGTGAACTGAATAACAAGACCCTGTAACAAAGAAGGAAGGAAAGAAAGAAAGAAAGAAAGAAAGAAAGAAAGAAAGAAAGAAAGAAAGGAAGAACAAGGCTAGCAAGATAACACAGCAGACTAAGCGCCTGCTTAGGCAAGTGCAGGGCCCAGTGTTCAATCCCTGGCCCCGCATGCTGAGCCAGCCCTACCCCTGGGCACACTGAGCCATCCACTGAGACCAGGCATAGTGGTGCAGGCTTGTAATCCCTGTGCTGGGGAGGCCAAGAACAGAAGGATCATTATGAGTTTGAGCTGTGTAGTGAGACCGTGTTCCAAAAATACATTAAAAAATACATAAATAAATGACAACAATCATGAAAGAATTTCTCAGCACATCTAAAGAAGAGAGACAAGTAATAGACGAGAATAGAAAAATTATGGAAACATTGAAAGAATAATACAAGAAAGAATTAGAATGCATGAAATGGATTCAAATAGATGTCCAGGAAATTAAGAATTCCACTGAAAGCTGGCAAAACCATTTAAATGAAACTGAAGATAGATTTTCAGACCTTGAAGACAGCACTGTAGCTAGCAAAAAGGAAAAATCTCTTAAAAATAATAAAGGAGCAGTAAAAAACAATTTGGCGGCTGCAAGATGTTGTAAAAAATTATAAGACTAATAGGTGTCAATAAAATAGCACTAGTCAGCATAAATGACATAAAAAGTTTATTTACAGAAGTAGCAGAAAATATTCTAAGCATGGGAAAAGAATCTGACATATAGATCAGTGAGGCATGCATGTTGCAGAATTCCAGTTAACCAAAATCAAAATAAATTTACACAAAGACATAATAATCAAGTTCCCAGAAATTCAGCAAAAGAGCAGAATATTGAAGCAGTTGGAGAAAAGAACCAGATCATCACTAATGGAAAGCTCATCAGAATCACAGCAGATTTCTCAACAAAAGCCATCAAATTAGGAAGAGCTTAGAGTGAAGTGTTTTAGCTCCTAAAAGAAAACAACTTCCAATCCAGACTGGTGTACCCCGAAAAACCATCACATTTGCAGGGCTTTGGCAACTGTTCCTCATAGCTGTTCAGAATCTTGTAGTTAACTGGTCACATCTACTTCCCCAGTCAGGTTTTTTTTTTTTTTTCAGTACCAAGGATCAAACTCAGGACCTTACACTTGCTAGGCAGGCACTTATGCCACTGAGCTATGTCCCCAGCCCCCCCTCTATCAAATTTAATGGAGAGATACGATACTTCCATGGAAGCGCTTATTCCACTGAGCCATCTTCCTGGCCCATAGGATACTTCCATAACAAGAATAAATGAAGAAATTCATGACTACTAAGTACAAAGAGTACTAATATTTGATCCCCAGGCCTGCTGTACTGGCCCCACCCCCGGATCACACTCTGAGATGGCAATAGAGACTGGGTGTGGTGTGCATGCCTGTAGTCCCAGCTCTTGGGAGGCTGTAAACAGGTGGATCACTAAGAGTCCGATCTAGTAGTGAGACCCTGAACATCCTGTAGACCCTTTCCTAAAAAATACATTAAAAAAAGAGTATTGACAAATATTCTAGGAAGAGACAACCACAACTTCAAGAACAACAGAAAGAAACCACAAAGCAGAGCAAGCTATTGAACAGAGGAGAAAATTAGGGACCCTACAGCAGGAAAATAATATAATAAGGATGAGCCAATACATATCACTTATAACCATCAATGTAAATGGTGTCAATTCACCAATTAAAGGAAATAGACTGGCAGAATGGATCATCAAACAGAAATCCAAAAATATGCTGCATATAAGAAATGCATTCAAAAGGAAGCAATACTCCCTCCATGTGACAGGAACCCAGAAAAAAAGCAGGGGTAGATATCCTGGTAGCTGACAATGTCAACTTCAAATCAAAAATGGTTAAAGAGATAAAGAAGGTCACTACATACTTGTTAGGTGGAAACTTCAAGAGAAAGAGATAAAAATCATAAATATATATGTACCCAATGTAGGAGCACCCAACTACATAAGACAAATTTTTTTTTCTTTTTTTTTTTTTTTTTTTTTTTTTTTGCACAACTGGGGATTGAACTCAGGCCCTTGAGCTTGCCAGGCAAGCGCTTATTCTACTGAGCCATCTCCCTGGCCCCTTATAAGACAAATTTTAACAGACATGAAAAATCAAATGAACAATAACACAATAGTAGTGGGGGACTTAATACCCCCTTGACACAAACAGATAGATCAACTAGGCAAAAAGTCAGCAAAGAAATAATAGAACTAAACCAAACTTGTAAAGAAATGGACTTAGTATACCACTACAGAGTGTTCTATCAGAAATATTAGAGTATACATTCTTCTCAGCTGCACATGGGACGTTTCTAAAATAGACTATATGCTAGCACATGAAGCATGCTTAAGTAAACACAAAGGAATCAAAGTTATCCCATGAATATCATCTGACCATAGTGCAATGAAACTGGAAATTCTGGACAAAAGAATTGCAAAGACTCCACAAACACATGGAAATTACCCTCCTGAACAATTCATGATCACAAATGAAATTAAAGAAGAAATATACAAATGTTTACAATCAAGTGAAAATGCAGATACAACTTACAGGAACCTGTGGGAGGCAATGAAAGCTGTCTTAAGCAGGAAATTTATAGCGGTACATTCACACATCAGAACAGAACAAGCACAATAAACAATCTTATGCTGCACCTCAAATTCCTAGAAAAAGAAAAAAAGTTAAGCCCAAAGTGCAAAGAAGGCAGGAAATTATAAAGATCAGAGCAGAAATTACTGCATTGGAGATGAAGAAAACAATATAAAGAAATAATGAATCAGCAAGTTGGTTCTTTGAAAGAGTAAACAAAATTGATAAAACCCTATATTCAAATACATTAAATAAGGAATGAAAAGTGTGAAATCATTACAGCTTCTATAGAAATTCAGAAAATCAGCAATACTTATTTCCAAAATCTTTACTCTCACAGGATGGAATACACAGAAGAAATGGACAGATTCCTAGATATATATGAATTACCAACGCTGAATCAAGAAGATATAAAAGTTCTGAATAATCCAGTATCAGTCATTGATATTGAAAATGTAGTAAAAAGCCAACCAACAAAGAAAAACCCAGGTCTTGATGGATCACAGCTGAATTATGTAAGAAATTTTGAGAAGATTTATGCCAACTCTTCTCAAACTCTCCAGTGAAACTGAGAGGGAAGTAATTCTCCCAAAGTCATTCCTGGAAGCAAGTACTACTCTAATCCCAAAACCAGAGAAAGATTCAGTCTAAAAAGAGAATTACAGCCCAATCTTCCTCATGAACATAGATGCAAAAATTCTCCATAAAATACTAATAAGCAGAATGCAACAAATCATCAAGATTATTCATCACAACCAATTAAGATTCATCCCAGGAATGCAGGGAAGGTTTAAAATATGCAAATCAATAAATGTAATACACCACATCCATAGAGCCAAGAACAAAAATGACATGATCATCTCAATAGATGCAGAAAAAACTTTTGACAAAGTCCAACACTCATTCATGATAAAAAACCTACAGAGAATTGGAATAGATGGTCTATATTTCAACCTGATAAAAGCCACATATGAGAAACCAACAGCCAACATCATACTAAATGGACAAATACTGAAAGCCTTTACTTTAAAACCAGGAATAAGATAAGGATGTCCACTGTCACCATTCCTATCTAATATAGTTCTGAAAACATTACCCAGAGCAATTATACAGAAGAGAAAAATAAAAAGGATAATGAATGGAAAGGAAGAAGTGAAAGTATCATTATTTGCATATGACATGATACTCTGCATAGAAGATTACAAAATCTCCACCCAGAGACTTGTAGATTTAATAACCAAATTTAGTAGGATAGCAATATACAGAGTCAACACTCAAAAATCAATAGCATTTCTATACATAAAAATGAATGTATCTAGAAGAAATAGGGAAACCACACTTTTCACATTAATATATAAACAAATGAAATACTTAGGAATCAGTCTCACAAAGGAAGTAAAAAATCTGTAGAGTGAAAATTGCAGTACTATGAAAAAAATTGATAAAAGAGGATTTGAGAAAGATATTCCTTGCTGATGGATAGGAAGAATCAACATTGTGAAAATGGCCAAATTTCCAAAATTGTTCTACAGATTCAGTGCTATGCTGATTAAAATACCATTAATATACCTCACAGATCTAGAGAAAACATCCCTCAAAATCATCTGGAATTGGAAGAGAACTAGAATAGCAAAAGCAATCTTGGGCAACAAAGGAAAGGCAGAAAGCATCACAATTCCTGACTTGAAATTATACTAAAAGCTAGTGTGATAAAGTCAGCATAATGTAAAAACAAAACAAAACAAAACAACAGATCTGAGGATCAATGGAACAGATTAGAAGATGCAGACCCAATTACAAACACACTTAGCCACCTTATCTTTGACAAAGGGGACAAACATATTCACTGAAAGAAGGATAGACTCTTTAATAGTCATGGAGAGACCCAATCCAAAAATGGACTTCTGAGATGAATATGCACTTATACAAATGGCAAAAAAATGCATGAAATAATGTTCTACAGCACTGGGCAGTCAATAAATGCAAATTAAAATGACACTGAGATTTCATCTCACCTCAGAAAGAATAGCTATCCTGAAAAGGTCCACCAATAACAAATGCTGAAGGGGCTTTGGGGAAAAAGGGACCCTTCTCCACTACTGGTGAGAGAGTACAACCACTATGAAAATGTTTGGACATTCCTTAAAAAGCCAGGATTGGAAGTCCTGTTCAACCCAGCTTTTCCCCTCCTGGGTATTTTTCCAAAAGAACTGAAAATATTTTATCACAGTGATATATGTACACTCATGTTTGTAGCAGTACATATTTTCATAGCTACCCAAATGTCCATCAACATGATGGTCAAAGAGCTCAGGGGAATAAAGCCCCTGCAAGCAGGCACAGTGGCCGGGGGTTCAATCCCTGGGCCTGCTGTGCTGACCCTGCCCCCGGAGTGTGCTGAGATGGCAATTGAGACTGGACGTGGTGGCATGCACCTGTAATCCCAGCTCTTGGGAGGCTGTAAACAGGTGGATCACGATGGGTTCAATCTAGTAGTGAAACCCTGAACACCCTGTAGACACTTCCCTAAAGTAAAAAAAAAAAAAAAAAGAACATCAACTGAGGAATGGGTAAAAAAGATGTGTTATTTTTACCCACAGCTATAAAAAAGGATAAACTTGAGGCTTTTATAGGTAAATGGATACAACTAGAGGCCATACTCAGAAGTGAAATAAATCAGACCTGCACATGTAAAGTCATACTGTCTCGCCAGTGTAAGAACCTGAAAGAGTAAGCAAAATCTGAAAGGTATAATAGATGCATGAAGAGGAAAGAATCTGTTCAAAGGGAAGAAAAAACTTGGATGAGAAAAAGGACAAGAGAAAGAAATAAGGAAGAGAAAAATATATTATTTATGTATATCTACAAGGTAGCCTGGGGGCTGGGGAGATAGCTTGGTGGTCTAAGTGCCTGTGTGGCAAGCACAAAGACCGAGATTCAATTCTGCTACCACATGCCATCCCAGCTCTGGAACCCCAGGCATGCTGTGCTGTTCCCTGAAATGGTATGGTTATGCATGTCTGTAATCCCAGGGCTGAGTGGGAGGCTGAGACAGGAAGATCATGAGTCTAAGCTATGTAGTAAGACCCTCTATCAAATAAATAAATAAATAAACAAAAGATTTCTAAAAATATCTCGGACAATTGTGCTGCTGTTTTCTCTTGGTCTATGGAAAGGAGCAGTTAATGCTTAATGTTTTTTCTTCTGTTTAATTTCTTATAACTTTTAAAACCAATTTTTGCATGCTTATATCTGGTAACCTGCACAATTAATTTGAAGACCACATTGTGCAATATAACATCCGTTGTCAAATTCCTATTATTTTGTTTAGTGAAATTCGGTATCATTTCTAATTTTTCTTTTCACTGTTTTTTTTTATTCTCTTTATAAACGAAAAAGGAGAAACTGGTAGCAGTCAAAAGAACTTTCCCATCAGCAGATCTTCAAGTCTACAGTCCCATTTCTTTTACGTGCATGAGTTTTCCTTCCACTATCATTGTAATGGATGGACACTGCCACTGTCCACTGTAGTCATTCCTTTACTGTTGCCTGGAGATCCACTATATAGTCTTTCATATTAAAAGTCATCACTAGCTGAATTGCCCTTCTTTCCTCTCTTCAATATGAATTTCCCCCTTTATAGCTTTCATTAGTGAACACCTGATTTTATAATACACCTTTTTTCTTTTTTTGTGGAATGAGGGGTTGAACTCAGGCCCTTGTACTTGCCTGGCAAGTGCTTATTCTACTGAGCTATCTCCCTGGCCCAAATATTCCCATTTAAACATCCTTTGTTTCTATTTTGCTTATCTCTATATCCCTCACCCTATTTCTTTGCTCTATTTTCAACACTGTTCTTAAATTTTCCACTCCTGTCTTCTCTGAACTCACTCGAGTGGAGTTTCTCTGAAGCCCTGCCCTCGATGTTCTTGTCAAGATTAGCAGCTGAAGTTCAGGTTTCACTTCTCATGTTGCATGACTGCTAGCATCTGACATTTGACTGTGTGCTCTGACATAAATGTCTTCTTTCTTCATTTGGCTTTGTTGACATGTCATTCATTTCTTCCCTCCGATATGCTTTTTTCCTCCAGCCTCTTTGTTGAATCATAGTACCTTCACCAGCCACTGGTCTCTGAATTGTGTAGACCAAGCAGTCTCTCTTTTATGTAATAATGCTATAAGCCTTGGTCTCAAGCCTATTGAATTTAGTGACTTTTAAAAATATGCACTTTATAGACGTGCTTGCTATGCTGAACTGAAACTTATAGGTGATATAAAGACGAAACCCCCATGCAAAGTCAAAGAAGACAAATCCACACAAGTATACTCTTTATGGATGGGAAAATTCAATGTTTTCAAGATACCAATTATTACACAAAAGATCTATTTTTAACATAATTCTAACTGAAATCTTAGAAGAATCTTTTCCTCATAGAAATATGCAATCCAATTTTAAACTCTGTATGGAAAGACAAAAGGAACAGAATGGTCAAAAATATTTTGTAAAAGAATGAAGTTGTAGGTTCCTACTATGAGATTTCAAGATTTGCATAAAGTTATGAAAACACCTCCAATCCCAGGTAGAGTGGCCTGCTTTAAAATTATAAATGTTGGGGCTGGTGAGATGGCTCAGTGGTCTAAAGCATCTACTTAGAACAAGCTTAGCAAAGCTACAGGGACCGCGGTTCAATCCCCCAGCACCACATGCCAGCCAGCCCTGCCCCCTGGTGGGATGAGCTGGCCACACACACACACACACACACACACACACACACACTAAATAAAAAATAAAATTATAAACGTAAGGGGCTGGGGAGATGGCTCAGTAGAATAAGTGCTTCCCTGTCAAGTGCAAGGACCTGAGTTCAATCCCTGTTTCCACCAAAATAAATAAATAAATAAATAAAGTTATAAACATTGGTTTGAACATTCATTATTCATATACTTTATGTGCATGGCAAGGGTTTGTGTATGTATTTGACATTTGTGCACCCATGTGTATAGCAGTGTAAATTTTCATTACTACCTAAATGCCCATCAACTGAGGAATGGATAAAAAAAGATGTGTTAGTTTTACACAGTGAAGTATTACTCAGCTATAAAAAAGGATAAACTTGAGGTTTTTATAGGTAAATGGATGCAACTAGAGACTATGTTCATAAGTGAAATAAATCAGAGCTGCACGTGCAAAGTCATATTGTCTCACTAGTGTAAAAACCTGAAAGAGTAAGTAAAATCTGAAAGGTGCAATAGACATGTGAAGAGAAAAGAATCTGTTCAAAGGGAAGAAAAAACTTGTATGAGAAAAAGGACAAGAGAAAGAAATAAGGAAAGGAAAAAGATATATTTATGTATACACACAAGGTAATTTGGGGGCTGGGGAGATAGCTTGGTGGTCTAAGTGCCTGTGTGGCAAGCACGAAGACCCAGGTTCAATTCCTGCTACCACATGACATCCCAGTCCTGGAACCCCAGGCATACTGTGCTGTCCTCTGGAACTGGGCATGGTTGTGCATGCCTATAATCCCCCAAAAGCCTTTAGCCATTGATTTCTCCCTTTTACAACTCCCCTCTTCCCACAACCCCACATGTTCAACACACCTCCAGTCAAGCAACACAAAACAGACACACAGTTATTTCTGTGTGGCACCTTGATGCATAAAACTCCATCTTCCTTTGGCTCCCTCCCCTTCTAGGGCCCTCAGAGGGCTTGCTATTATGTTCGTGGTAGCCCCTTTCTTCATTTCCCTCATACACAATACTGTTACCAGACTAACAACCCAAATTTTTCACCAAATGCTTCTCTCAGATTATTCTTACCAGGCCTTACTCCAATGTGATCCCTCTGATGATGACAACTGCTCGCCCTGATCTCCAGACTCACAGCCCCATGATGCCCCACGACGTTCCTATTTAGCAGGAAGTAGCCAGATGATTTCTTTGCCCTTTTTCTATCAAATAGAGTCTGGGTTGACAGGTCAGGATTCAAAGTTTCCCACGCACCTTGCCCCAAACACTGTCCCTCTTGGTTTCCCAGGAACCCTGCCCCCAAACTCTCTCCCCCTTGGCCCCACGCAGAGCTCAGAATAGGTCCACCTGGTTTGACCTGGGCAAGCAACCATGAAACTCTCCTTTGTTAACATTAAAAGTCCCCCACAGACCAGGTAGCCTGCCAAGATTAGCTCTCCCTCACCTGTTCCAGATTACACTCCCTAAAAGATCCTATAAAGTCTCCTGTCCCCCCCTTTATTTGCTGCTGTCTTGGTCCGCTAGACAGCCAGCCTGCTTGAGGCCCCAGTAAGTCTTCACTTGTGTCAGAATGCCTGGTCTGGTTCATTGCGTGGGTTCATACCTAACATTATGTGTGTTATTAAACACTGAACCCAGGCACTGGCAAATGCTAGGTAAGCACTCTGCCACTAAGCTGCATCTCTAATTTAATTTAATCTGAAACTCCAGGTCTTAATTACTTTTTTCTTTGCTGAGATAAAATATCCAACACCTGGACTTAAAGGTGGAAAGTTTTGAGTAGCAGTTTGTGGAGGTTTCAGTCCGTAATTGCCTGGCTCCAAGGCAGGGTGGCAGGGCAGATAGGCATTGCAGAAGATAAATGGTTCATAGTGGACAAAAGATAGCAAAACAACAAATTAGGGAAGAAACAAGTCCAATTTACCTTAGCAGCTTCTTTCTGCTCTTTTTGTATTTGAACTAGGCTACTGGGGATACAATACGCATCAAACCAATCAGTGGGCTGATCTAGTCATTGTAGACTATTTCTCTGAGACAAGTCCTCATTCTACCACCACACAAGGCTTTGGGGAAGACATCTAGATGCAGTGCCTAACTAAATTGCACAGATTGACCTCTAGCTTGTGTTCCTCTCACTCTCTGTGTGGCTGGGATAACAGGTGTGTGCCACTGTGCCCAGCTTGCTTGTGTAGTTCTTACCAATGTACTTGATCTGCCTTCTTTCAGAAGAACTGCTTTGAGATTCCTCCTCATAGTTGGGTGTATCAACGGAGCATGCCTTTTATTGCCGAGTGGAAATCGATTGTATGCACATACCACGAGCTCTTTGAAAGATGTTTGAATTGCACTGCTCTGAACATAAGGAGGCTATTTTGAACTTTTGTATAAATTCCTCATGAGACCAAATGATTTCCTCTTCCTTAAGAAAATACCTAGAAGTAGAATGGCTGAGTCATATAGTAATTTGATGTTTTAAGAAATTGCTTAAGTATTTTCAATAGTGATTTTGCTGATCTGCATTTCCTCGTGGTTTGCATTTTCATTTCCCTTGTACCTAATGTAAAATGTGGTTTTATGAGCCTATTTGTCACTTGCACATCTTTTTGTAAATGTATGTGTTCAACTCTTTTGCTTATTTTTTATTATAGATTTTTTTTTCTTATCGAGAGTTCTTTATGCATTCTGTCCACCAATTTTTTGTTTAATCTTTTATTTACTTATTTGGTACAGGGTCTCATTATGCATCTCGAACTTGTAGTGATACTCCTGTCTCAGCCTCCCCAGCACTGCGATTACAGGCAGGTGCACCACAGCCGGTTTCAGTGGCCACTCAGCACACATGGGGTTCTGGGCCGGCACAGCAGGTACTTGGACCGCTGAGCTATTGGCTTAGCCCCACAAGTTCTTTATCAGATATGTGATTTACAATATTTTTTCTAAATGAGTGGATGAAATTTCATTCTCATGGCAGAGAAGATATTTTGTTTTCATTTAAAAAACTATTTTATTCACTTATGTATTTGATACAGGGTCTTGTTACACAGCTTGGAATCCTACTAATCCTCCTGTCTCAGCCTCCCCAGTTCTGGGATTGTAGGCATGCTCCTCCACGCCTGGTTTCAGTGGCTGGCATGGCTCACACAGAGTTCCAGGGCTGGCATGGCATGTGGTACGCAGGATAAAGCCCAGGCCCTTGTGCTTGCCAGGCAGGTGCTTAGACCGCCGAGCTGTCTCCCCAGTACCTGTTTTCATTTTGAAGACCAAATTTGCAGAGGTCCAGTTCACCAATTTTTTTTCTTTTATATGTGGCATACTTGATATTGAATCTAAGAAATGTTCACCTAATTAAAAGCCACAGAGTTTTTTTTTTGTCATGCTTAAACTTACCCCCTAAGTCCATTGGTACATACTCTGTGTTTTAGGTTTCACAGATTTTTAGTAAGCATGTACAGAAAAACAAAGCTATGATCATTTCATTGTCAATTATGGAGCTTTATATTGCAATAGCTTTTTAATTTTTCTGTGTAAAGCATGTTCTTGGCTACAATTTACTTCTGTGACAATCTCCACTGGGTAGGTGAGCAAGCTCCTGCCAGACAACCTAGCACCTGTGGTTAAGGTTATCAGGCACCTGAGAATGGCTGTGGTGGACCACTACTGAGACAACCAAGCCCTTTCCATAAGTTAGGCCTTTCACATTAATGAGGATACGCTAAAGCATACTGGTTATTTTTTCTCTAAATTAGAAGAGGTTATTGTTTCACTGTGAGACAATTTTAAGGGTAGTTTTTGTACCCCCTTTAAGGTTTTTTTTTTTTTTTTTTCAACCTCTCCTCTAGTGAAAAAAAATTTTGCAGGAGCTGGTATTTATTATCAAAGTAATATTTGATGTCAACAAGATGCCACAAGGGGGCCAGGGAGATATCTCAGTAGAATAAGCACTTGCCTGGCAAGTGCAAGGTCCCAAGTTCAATCTCTGGTACTGGAAAAAAAAAAAAAGAAAAGAAAAAGAGAAAACAAAAACAAGATGCCACAGCTACAAAACAAAACAAAACTGTGCACATTGCAGTCTCAATGCAAACAGTCAAATGGAATCTCAGGCATTAAAAAAGCAATTCAAATTACCCCAAAAAGCAGCTGAATTTTTAAACATCTTTATACATCCAGCCAACAAATTAAAATGGTTAACAAAAAAAAAAATACAAATTCAGAGATCTTGTATTGATGTTTAAAAAAGGCAACTGCTTAAGCATTTCTATCGATCCAAACATCAATCTCTTGGCCGCTCAGCTTCACACCATTCATCATTCGGCAGGCTGTCTCAGCCACCTCTGGTGACTCAAACTTAACCACACCACACCTCTTGGGTTTCCCATTCTTCACCTTGACGTCAGTGTACAGCAGGTGTCCATATTCCTTGAATTTGTCCTTTAGCATCTTCCATGTAAAATCAAATGGGAGATTTGTCACAAATATCTGGCAAGTCTTGCTGGCCACCCCAGGAGCATGGCCTTCATCTCCATCAAAGGAACCTGCAAAGCTTCCTCCAGTTTCCGTGTCTCATTTCGATGATGCAGTCAAAATTGGCACCACCATCACCACCCATGGCCAGGCCCATGCACTTGATGCCAATGCCCAGGGCCTGGCCCATGGTGGGGCCCATCCGCTCCAGGCTATTGGCGCCCATCCGTTCCAGGCCTGTGACCACGTGATCCATCACCAGCCTTATATGCTCCAGTGAGGTCA